CCATGCTCATAGCCAGGGCAGAGTGGGCACCAGTGGACTGAGATGCCCGCAGGCAGATCCAAGTGCTGGCACTGGCAGTCAGGCCACCATGTGTCAATAGGGTAAGTGTGATGGGATATGGACTTGGCACCCAGAGTGTCTGCTACATGCCCCACCCAGGCACATTCATCCAAACACAATCCCTCAGCAGGACATCATAGCCACTCCCTGCACCAATGCCCCCAGGAATCAGACAACAATAGTTCTAGTCCAAATTGAGTTTAATAGGGAGTTTCAGGATCACTCAGATTAAAGGAAGGATTCACAAGGAATGTCAAGGTCTGGGATAGGGGCCTGGTTGAGTTCTGAATCAGAAAGCAGTAGGACGACCAAAGGAACTCTAATCTGAGAAGGTCCTTTCCATGTCTCAGGGGTTATGACCCTAAGGGTGTGGGTCCTGCGGAGGGTTAGGAAGCCATCTTAGGAGCTCTACTGGGATGGTATTGGGATGCCCCAAGTACCATGTAGGGGGATTACATCTGGGTTTCTGGGTATGAAGAGCTGAGTTAGGAGAGAGGACCCCAAAAGATCCCAGTGAGGAAAGGGTTAGGGGCCCAGGGTGTTTCACAGAAACAATCAAGGGGCCTCGATTTCACAGAAATCATCAAGAGGGCACCTTGTGGGTGGGGGAGGGGTATGACACCATCCCAAATATTGGGGACTGTTCACCCCCAGCAGCCATTTTGGGGTTTTAATGTAAGACCCCAATGGCAGGACATTCCACATATATTATCATTGATTTGCAACATTAGCATACGCTGGATGTCCCACAGGACGGTGGGGACTGGAAAATCAGTCCAGGTTCTGGGTTTGAGTCCTAAGAGGACACGCCTGGGGGCGCCACACGGCTCCTCTTCAGCAGCTGCCGGAGCTGTGAACAAGGCAAGGCAGAGTGAGGTCGGAGAGGTTGGAAGGAAAGGTGGGGAAGGTGCACTGTGGGAGTGAGGGATTAGAAAGAAGATGAGTGGGGTCAGTTGGGTTTGAAGATCAAAAGTCCAGAGTCAAGGTTGGGTGTTGGAGGTAAAGGTCTGGGTTCACACACTGAGAAAGGGTTGGGAGCCAGAACTGGGGATGAAGGGAAAGGTGTTGCTGGTTGGAGGTTCCCACCTGGGGATTAGCATTGAGTGGGAGTCAAAGGTAGAGGAATGGGGTCAGAAGTCACATTTGAGATCAGCACCCAGGGTAGGGGCAGGGGATCGGAGGTCACACTTGAGAATCAAAGATCACACCCTGAGGTCAAGATTCAGGGTTGGGAGTATAGATCACATTTTGAGGCCTGGGTCGGGGTACAGGTCAGGAGTCACCATTCTGAGGTAAGGGATCAAACACTGAGGTCAGCAGTCACATTTTGAAGTCAGGGTTGGATAAGGGTTGACGTCACCTTCTGAGATTAGAATCCCCCTCTAAAGTCAGGATTGGGTGGGGGTCACCCTGTTAGCTCAGAGGCCTGCAGTCAGGCTCAGTGCTCACCCCCTCAGGGCCTGGGCCAGGCCGCAGCAGGTGGATGGGCTGCTCATTCTCCAGGTTCCGGAGTGTTGGGTCTGCCCCAGCTGCCAACAGGTGCCGCACAATGGCTTCCTGAGGCGGCCCAGGGGGCAGGGCGGCTGCCATGTGGAGGGCTGTGTTCCCATGGGCCTGGAACAGTGAGCAGAGGCTGGTAAGGATCCACACTCAGCTAGCCTGGGCCCTCCAAATTGCGCTTCTCTTTTTCTTTTTGGCCCAAACTGCACTTCATATCCTGTTATATCCACATCCCACACTTCTCCCTTCACATCCCAGACTCCCGCCTTCACAGCTGTACTGCACACACTGCTCTACGTCTATGCCCTACACATTCCCCTTCAGATCCCACACACTGTCTCCCCCATATCCACAGCCCAACATCCCACTGGGGGCCGGCTCGTGGCTCACTCGGGAGAGTG